AAGGAATGAGTATTTTTGAAGTCAAAATATATAACAACTGAGTCTTCAGGAATGGCAATGCATTGGGGGTATCATGGACAAAAAAGTATACTCTGTTATGTTCATGGTACTGCTCATATCTATAGGTGACGGTTACCACTTTCCATCAGGTGGCTCGTCAGCTTGTTTACCATTCTAAGTTGCATAAAAAACATTCCTATTGAAAAGTCCTGTATGTATTTGTAAAGACACAGCAGATAAATGCAGTTTTAAATGCAAGAAGCAAATTTTAACTGTTCAATCCCAATTTTACCTCGTCATTCAAAGTTATTTTCGAATTTTCACTTTGTAAGCTTAATCAGTTGTTAATGTCCACTGCTGAACATAGGCCTTTCTCACAGACTGACATAAGAAACAGTCCTAAGCCAACGGAATAAGGGCCATTCCTGCCTGGTGTCTACCATGGAGAGGATTTTGCCAGTACTTGCCCGCTTGGCAAGCAGTTGGCAACTGTAGTTAGGCTATTAGTGATGTTTTAAAAGGGACGCTACTGTTGTGTTATTTTTTTTTTATTTAGTCCGAGAGAATTCGTTAAACGCACACATATGTATCTACCTATAGCTGTATGGACTTATTATTTATTACACCATGTATTTTTTTTTTTCACTTACAAAAGCGTGTGAAAATCTTTATGTACATTCATAGCTGTATGGACTTATTATTTATTACACCATGTATTTTTTTTTCACTTACAAAAGCGTGTGAAAATCTTTATGTACATTCAATGGAATTAATATTAGAATAAAATGTAATCATAATTAAGTTAGGCATTTCAATTTGTTGGCTATGCACTATGTCACAGGATAATAAAATTACAGTTATTCAGTCATTAATTTTAGTAGTCTTTTGAATGACTCGAATTTGTTTTTTGATCGGGCAATATCGCCATAGTACCTCAGTTTTTGAGTCGTATTGCCCAATTAATGAACGCGCTTTTACCGATTTTTTTGATGAATAATAATGAAATGGTAACTCCGTCTTCGCTAACAGTATACGCTGGCGGGGCACCTGTTAGGGATGATAGATGAGAATCAAAAAGTAGGTCAGTTAGCCCACCGTGAAGAAATTCAGCACAATGGTTTCCATGTGGGACCACGTGGAGGTCGACCTGACATGTATATTGCTGGTAATAGGACTAGTAGTCCGCATTACTAACAATCCCTCTCCCCTCCGTGTTTTTGTCATCACAACTATCGTCTTTCTATTAAGATTTTTATACAGGAATAAAATAGTAGTTTATACTATTTAATAAACATTTACGTACCTCAAAAGTACCCAAGTAGGGTATACCTTTTAGGTATTTTTCTTACCTTAAATACACAATTTAGTGTATAGTCAACAAAAAAAGAAATATCAATGTCATTAATATAAATAAATAACTCTATGGTAAGACCATAGTGTTAAAAGTACCATCAGTATACTTGAATTCGTATGATATTGTTTAATTTAAAAAAAAAATAATGTTATCTTGTAAATATAAATTATATAATTATATAATGGTAGATAGCTATTATTAGTTACTGTAAATAATTCGTTTTGTCAGTGTTATCGAAATTTATTGTACAAACAATTTTGGTGATCCCGTACGCAATAAATACTAAACTTCTTCGGAAATGATGTGTTTTTTTTTATTTTACTTTATAAGAGAACATAGAAAAAAAAATGTGAAAAATGAAAGGCGTTGGAACAGAGGACAATCCATTACATACTTGAAAAAAACACACCTTTACACAACAGTAAGGAATCGTTGATAGGAACGACGGACAATCCTCTGCGTACTTTTTGCACGTCAAAATGTACGCATACAACTCATGTAAAGTTTTTCAAGAATGAAAGACCAACCACAGAAACAACCAACAACTTTTATTATCAAATAACAACTATTTAGCGCTAAATAAATATATATATACATATATATATCGTCATAGTCGTAGAATACTGACCGATCTTTATATGTAATATTCGTCAGATCCGTCAGTATTCTACAACTATGACGATATCTCCAAGTACATTATGAGGAAAAAAAATATAAGACAGCTGACTACTTGTCTACTACCAAGAATACCGTAGTACGAGCTAATTATAAATTACTACCTAACCCGGCAAACATTTTGCACCCTACCGCCACCTACCTGATACATTTTTCTTAACGTGACAATTAATGAAACAATCAAACAATTACTATACATAAAAAACGAAGTCGCTGTCGCTATCTGTCCGTCCTTATGTATGCTTAAATATTAAAAACTACACAAAAAGAATTTTAAAGCGGTTTTTTTTTTAATAGATAGAGTGATTCAAGAGGAAAGTTTATATGTATAATACACGCATAATATTGTAGAGAAACACTGATAGATTTAGAGGTTTCTAATATAATCTGATGTAATGTGCACCTGTCCGAAGCAGGGGCGGGTCACTAGTAATTTATAAAAACAATCATATCTGACAAATTGGAACAAAAAATATGCCGCTAGGACCGGAGTAAGACACGTATGGTCGTCAAGTTAATACTATTTCTAAACCTAAAGGTGATTTACATTAAGCCAGTTACTAGCGTCTGTATCGACGGCGAAACGAACTTGCACTGTATACATGAAGACAGTTGTTACCGCCTTTTGTTTTTTTTTTATAATACAATGAGATAAACGTGCATACTGCTCACCTGATGGTAAGTAACTACCGTCACCCATAATCCTCCGCATCTCCAAATGCATTGCAGGTGTGCCACCGGCTTTTTAAAAAAGAATATGCTCTTTTCTTGAAGGTTATAATGATGTATCGGTTCGGAAATACTGCTGCTGGACGTTGATTCCAAAGCGTGGTTGTTCGTGAAAGAAAATGTTTTGAGCGAAAACAGTCGTAAGAAATATCAAATATAGTTTTTTTAAATTTCCATGGAAAAAGTATTCTAAATATACTTCTATTTTATGCGCAATAAAAAATTCATTATATCGACAATATCTGTCTATAGCGCAGTGTTGGACGCGTGGATTTAAGACAATGAGGTTCAGAGTTCGATTCCCAGTTGAGCCCATTTAGGAAATGAACTTATCATAAACTTTGGTCTGGGTGTCCAGGGTACTCCCCCAAATGTTCTTTATTTGAATGTAGAAAACAGGGTATCCTAGTTAAACTAAGCCCTCTAAACCAGAGGTTCCTAAACTTTTAAGATAACGGAAAACCCACCAAACATATTTTATGGAACCCCATATCAAATTAATAAAAATCAAAAACACTGAAATTTAAATAAAAACAAAAACTTTTATTAGAATTATTTTAAAAGTATAACACTTTATAGTTTCCTTTAATTTTTAATGCAAAGAATGAAATTGTTTCATTGTATAAATAATTTCGCGGAACCCAGATAACTTTTTTACGGAAACCACTTTAGGAACCGCTGGTCTAGATAGGCGGCAAGCGAATCCATCGATGGAATCAACATGGCTAGCGAGCCCATAAGATAGAATAAGATAGCAACGTCGGATATCTCATTCCAACTCATGGACTCGGTAGCGATAACTTGCCACATGTCTAAGGGGGCTGGCTATTAGTGTGATTATTTAGTGTTTATTGTTATTATGCACACTACACTATTAATAATAATAATAATATTTATTATTATTACGTCGACTTAAAGTCGGTTTACACAGTGACAGTAGTTGTTCTGATCTGTCTCGAGTTTCGAGTAACTGGTCCAATGTAAATGCACTAAAAGCGGTCACTTGTCCTTTATTTTGATTTTGACATTATTTTAATAAGCAGCAAAGGCAACTATCTACAACAAGCTATAAAGGTGTTATTTTGTTTAAAATAATACAATATTATATATTGACCCTTTGCACTCCACTAATTAACTTATCAATAACATATTACATTTTTTTATACAACTTAGAATGGCAAACAAGCTAACGGCCCACCTGATGGAAATTGATAACCGTCGCCTATAGACATGAGCAGTACCATGGACATAACAGAGTATACTGTTTCGCCCATGATACCCCCATGCGTTGTCATCCCTGAGGACTCAGGTGTTATTCCTCTGTACCCTGTAAATTCACGCCATATCCCACCCTTCAAACCTAAACACAGCTATGCAAACACAATGTAAATATTATAAAAAATACGTAAACACTATAAACAGACAATTTTGCATAATCTAAGTGTTAAGGGCGTAGAATCAGTAAAAAAAAACCATGTCGCTGTAGCCGCAACAGTGGATTTAATGTTAGCGTTTTAATAACTTTTTAATTTTAAGACAACTTTCGCCTTGTTTAAACATATTTTAAATACACTATCGGGACTTTACGCGATGTAAAAGCCTTTACAAGTAAATAGTACTTACATACCTGCTTCTTTATTGCCAACATTTCGACGTGAATTGTTCTAAACATCGGCAATAAAGAAGCAAATATATAGATAGCTATGTACATGCTAGTGAAATGATGTCTAAAGCCACCTTTTATCATCGCACCGCTCGACATCGACAGAGAATTCATCCCACACGCTTGAACTTAAATGGTCATGTACAGTGCGGTTTTTCAAAGAAATTTTCCACCGCGAACGCTCATGCTGTGGAATGAGCTCTCTACTGAGGTATTCCCCAGAGACTACAGTATGAAGTTCTTCAAAAAGGTATATTAAGATTTCTTCAGGGCCGGCAACGCGCAAGTGACAACCCTAGCGTTGCAAACGTCCATAGGCTACAGCGAGTGTTTACCGTCAGACGGGCTGTATGCTTGCCACCTTTGTGGTATAAAATAAATGCAAGATTTTTCATCGCTTTAGTACTAATAGCGTATTTAAAATAGATTATAAAAATTATCTATTCACAAATCTGTTTATCGTATTGTTACGCAATATTCACAAACACCAATGTATTTAGATTATCATTCGATATGTCGAACAATTAGCTTTATAAGTAGTTCAAATACATCACTTATAATTAAAAAAAAAAAAGAGAATTGCGACAAAATAAAAATAGTACATAAATACCATATTATGTATTACAAATACATAATTTTAAAAAGTAATATGTTACAAGATGTATATAATCTTTACACAGTATATTAAAAAATAAATAATTAATTTACACATATTATTCTGTAATATATTATAAACTTTATACCTATACAAATAAAAGTGAAACATAGATTTCCTATTTGGTTCGGTAACTGTGGTTATTAGAATCTAATTATAAATAAAATTTCATTTTAAAATTAGTTAAAAGCAAATATAGAGATGAGTTCACTCATATAAAAACAATGTGAACATTTTCCTTAATACAAATTGAAACTTACACTTAGGTACATATTAAATTACCAAAAAATAAAATAGAATAGAAAATAAAAGAAAAAAAAATTAGTCAAAACTATCAAATATATCGACTGTATTCTGTACTCTTAACCTTTAATATTGCAAAGAAATGCAGAGTCATAAGCTTAAATAGTATGGAATATGAAATCAACACATTTTTTTATGCAATTTGCCCATCTGTTGGAAAATGGCCTTTAATTAAAAAAAAAAAAACACGGTCCACAAAAAGCGGTATACTGCATCATAAACACAGAAGAAAAAACAAAGAACTTCGTAATGGAAACAGATCAATAAAATGTAAAAGTTTATGTCATCGTTAAAAGACCAAATATTTCTTTTTTTTATTGTATGAGTAAATTTGTATCATAGACTACATGCTTTATTGCGATTCATCAATTAATTACCAAAGTATAATAGTCATTAGTTGCAACACTAATAATAATGGCAAAGTTTATATTATTAAAAAAAAAAAGTTTATTTTTAAGAAATAAATATTTTTGAAAGTTTTTTTTTTACGGTCGATACTCCATCAAGAAATAATCTAAGCGTGGAGCATATTTGTAATAGTGCCTTGAAACTGAAATAAGAAAATAAAAGACTTATACTTATTTCTGAAAAAATTGAGGTCAAACATGATTTTTTTTTCAAACATTAAAAAACCCACCACTATCACCAAGGTGATGTAATACTTTTTTTTTTTAATATTATTGATATTATTAAAGTATCTATACTTCTTAGAATGCAGAAATAAATAATAAAATTTAAAAGTAAATTTTTCCTGCTGATTTATATATTTCTCATATTATAAAAAAAAATTAAAACCAGAGATGATGCTAATTGGTAATGTTATAAGATTTACATACACCTTTTTTGACTCTTAGAATGGCAAATAAGCTAACGGCACAACTGATTGAAAGTGAAACCCCATATGAGTTGCCATTCCTGAGGAATAAGATGTTATAACTACGTATCCTGCAATTTCAGTACCATATCCGTCTTTCAAACCGAAACACAGCCACGCAGACACAGCTGCGTTCATTTTAATCATTAAATTTTCTGTACTAATTTGACAGCTGAATGCTTAATACCACCTTAATTTTTTTTTGTATTTTGTGACCCATAATTCTTTGAGAAAACTTTCGATTTCACTGAGAGAACACTCTATTAAAAGGATTTCAATAATTTTACTATTGTATACAATAATTAATATAATAATTAGTTATTTAAAACTAACTAAGCATGGGCATTAACGTATAAAGCAAATTTCACTAAATAGCAAACGCCTACTTAGTTTAATTTCATAAGAGTCTGGAACTTTCGGTGTCTTGGTCCTGTTGCCTAATCAGGTTCCAGTAGAAACCTTTCTGCTTCTTCAGCTGTTCATGTGTGCCCATCTGCAAATTGTGTACATATTTTTTTCATTCTCTTTCAGTGTAAGTAATGCAATCAAAAGTAAGGTAAGGTACAAAAAGAAATGATTATATAATATATATAAATGAATGAATAAATAAAGATAAGTTTATGAAAGAAATATATTTATATATCTTGTGATATGACAACACAGGGAATGAAAAAGCTACTCGTGTGAACTTAAAAGTACATACGACCGCCATATTCATGCTACTGTGAAAAGCCCTTATAAGCCCAGGCTGTATACAGTCAACAGCAAAAATAATTAACAGAACAAAATTTTCAGTACTATCTAATTCTGATTGCAAACTTCATTCATTAATATTGATTATTTCATTCTGTCAGATATTTCTACTGCTGACTGTACATTCATAAACCATGCTTTTATTTGAAATAGCCCAATTCAGCAAGTGTTTTGTAACGTAGCACTAATTATTATTACATTATATATCATAGAATCCATAGACACTTTTGAAATTCATTGCATGAACAAACATGATGTCCTGGCTCAAAGGACCAAAATTTGTATGACATACATAAATTTAATTTTTATAACTATAGGTTAGATTTATGTCAGAGAAAAGGTTTGATTTTTTATTTGCAATGAATATACTCAAAAAATACTTAACCAATTTTAATAATTCTTTCATCTTTTTTTTTATACAACTTAGAATGGCAAACAAGTTGACGGCCCACCTGATGGAAAGTGGTAAGCGTCGCCTATAGACATGAGCAGTACCATGGACATAACAGAGTATACTGTTTCGCCCATGATACCCCCATGCGTTGCCATTCCTGAGGACTCAGGTGTTATTCCTCTGTACCCAGTAAATTCACGCCATATCCCACCCTTCAAACCGAAACACAGCCATGCAAACACAACTACTTTACGGTTGAAACACGAATGAGAAAGGGGTACCCAAGCAATCGACTTTTGTACAAAATCCCCCTCTGGTGAAAAAACATCTATAAAAACATTATCAACACATGTATTTTATTTAAAAAAAATCTACACATTTACCCGTCAGAAACCTGGGTGGGTTGCTAGTAATCAATATAATGAATTACCTCTACAATGACTCCCCCGTGGAGCACGAGAATAAGATCTGCAGCACGAACAGTGGAAAGACGGTGCGCGACCAACAGCACGGTTCGGCCACGAGCCGCAGTCTCCAACGCCGCTTGTACTACTTGTTCACTCGCAGAATCCAAAGCACTGTAACAAGGAAGTAAAGCATCGTAAGGATGTATATTCATCAGAAATAATAATAATAATAATTTATTTATTTGCTAGAAATGTGGTAATAATAATGGTCTTAAATATAATAGATCTACACATTTCGCCTTATCTAAAGGCATGCAAATTTAGTATTATAATTTAGTGGCTTACGTATATTAATAGCCTAGTAGGATCAATCCATAAATATTGGCAGCCGCACACATACTAGTGGTAGCAGACTAAACAAATACAAATACAAACTAAACAAAAACAAATACATAACAAGTCAATAATATAACAAATGTCATACAATACAAATGAATTACACATTTACATACATTCATTTAATTTTTTAAAAAGTCATTTATTAAATAAAAATTGCATTCCAGTAACCATTTTTTTAACCGTAATTTAAAGTGACTTACTGGTAGTTCTTTTATTGATTTTGGTATTTTATTATATATTTTAATAGTCATTATATCACATTTATATGTAAAGATGGTTACTAAAAGAACAAAGCCCAAAGAAGAAGTATTACAACGTATAAACATTTAGGTTTTAACAGAATAACTGTGCATAGATCGTTAGCGTCACATTAAGACGATTTTCGGTTGCCGATCATCTGCAACGAACGCCAATACATCATATTACATACAATATGCTATGCTACGTCAAACGACGCGGAAGATCGGTCGTAACGAGACGGAACGATCGCGCTCGTTGTATGTTCAGTCGCTCACGCACCGATCTTCGGTCAGCGGAAAATCGGCAATGCCGCAAATATGCACCTTATATAGCACTAGCCTAAAAAATATCTTCTATCTCGCCCTTCACTGGTAAGTATTGGCAGCGAAATGACTGGTTAGAGTGACTCTAAATCTTCATATCTCACTCATAATACGCGAATTACATCTCTAGTATCGCAACGTATTAATAAACCACTATAAGGCACTTCGTACACTTATTTGCCACCTTCAATATATTATTAAAAATGTCAAACATTTAATAAAACCAGGAAACGGTGGTGGGCATGTTGCTTTATGTATATGAGGTCCCGGGTTCAATTTTCAATCAGGCCAATTTAGGAAATTAAATTCGCTCGGACCTAGACGTTCTGGGTGTATGGATGTTCCTCATAACGCAAGCCTTGAGGATAAAACGATTGGTGTAATTGTGTAACACTTATTAATAAAAAAAAACTATTTTATCTATTGAAGTGTTTCATCGCTTTCTTTTATTTTTCTCAAATTTTAAAAAATGTGACACAATACAGTATCTTATCTTATATTCACATATGGGGTCAGCTAAGCTGTTGCACGTCGACCCATTGGAATCTTTTGTGCTTCCCGCTGCCTTATACCATCATTTCATAGATCCTTTGTGTTACCTTAACGATATCCCGCGATTTAAGATATCTGTAGTCCCCTAGTCCTGGATAAGCCGTTCCCAGTAGCCGTATACTTGCCAACGAATCGCAGTTGCACATAATACAGTAGGTTTATAGTTTTTTTTTTTTTTTTTTTATATAAGTAACACTAAAATAAACTGACCTTGTAGCTTCATCTAATATTAGTATGGGCGGGTTCTTCAACACAGCTCTGGCTATAGCTATCCTTTGTTTTTGCCCACCACTGAGAGCCACCCCACGTTCGCCAACCATCGTGTCGTATGCGTCGGGGAAATTCAAGATGAAGTCGTGGGCAAAAGCTGTTTTCGCTGCGTTATATACCTATTATTTTTATAAAAACAAAAAGAATTAATTATATTTCTTTAATATAACTTGGATCCGATTTAGGAATGTGCCCAAAGCCGAGTAAATGCCTAAAACAAGAAAATTGCGGCAAATATTATTTATTTTACTCGAAGCGACAAATATTAGTTTTTGCCCAGAGGGATATTTATTTTCGCCCGGAACGGCAAATATTTATTTTGGCCGGAACTGCAAATATTTATTTTTGCCCGAAGCGGCATATATTTATTATAGCCCGGAGCGGCAAGTATTTGTTTGTCCGAAGCGGCAAATTTTTTTTTTGCCCAGGGCCGCAAATATTTATTTTTACCCAAAGCGGAAAACTGCCAAATATCTGACATTTACACCAAATATTTATTATCTAATTTCATAGTGCCGTGAGGGTTTAATACCAGAGGAATTTAACACAACAATACTCACCTCAGCATCACTAGCATCTGGTTTTCCATACCGTATATTCTCTTTAATTGTGGTTGCAAATAACACCGGCTCCTGACTGATCAGACCGAGGGCCCGTCCCCGGAGCCATTTCGCGTCCAAATCTCGAATATTGACCCCATCTATCGTCACTTCACCGCTGTTTACATCGTAGAATCTGCAATCAAAAATAACCCTTGTATAATAATACAAATAAGTACTATTTTATAAACTACTAGCTACTTAGACCGGCTTCACATGAGCACATGGAATATTCGAAAACAATATATAGCCTATGTTACTCCTGGCTGATAATATAGCTTTCGGTAGGTGAAAGAATTTTTAAAATCGATTGAGTCTATCCATTACAAACAACAGAACGAACAATCAAATCTTTACATATATAATATGTGAAAATTATGTGAGAATTTCTGAAACTCTTTTTTTTTTTATTAGAATTAGTTTTTTAAAAGTACTGACTGAACAGACCACTTCTAAATGTCCTATCAAGATTTTTTTATACAACTTAGAATGGCAAACAAGCTGACGGCCCACCTGATGGAAAGTGGTAACCGTCGCCTATAGACATGAGCAGTACCATGGACATAACTGTGTATACTGTTTCGCCCACGATACCCCCCATGCGTTGTCATTCCTGAGGACTCAGGTGTTATTTCTCTGTACCCTGTAAATTCACGCTACGTCATCTACAAGTGGTTTGTACATTCACAATTCACGAATATGTAATTTCAGACAAATTTCTAGTTGACATATAAATAGAAAATTACATACCTTTCCAACAAAGCTATTATTGTGGACTTCCCGTTACCCGACGTGCCCACAATGGCGACCGTCTTACCCGCAGGTATTTTTAGATTGAAGTTTTTCAATACCGTCTGTAATATAAAAAAAAGGTTTATTGTTAAAAGTTTTATAAGTACACATTACATTATAATATAATAACTACTGACTTAATTGACGTTTAATTTGATTACGATCGCGTTCGCGTCACCGCTACTCAAGACTAAGTGTCGCGGATGGTCCCAAAACTAGTCGAACTTTCTCGATCAAATTACAGTTAAATTAAACCGGTGGTTATTACATTAAAATATAATAAAAACATTACTTAACTGAATATAAATTTGTAAATAATTACGGTATATTGGGCTTTCACACTTGAAATAATAAAAGTAACCAAAAATTACTAATTAATTGTAAGTGACGCTTTGTAAGCACTGTTTAGACTTTTTTTTATACAACTTAGAATAGCAAACAAGCTGACGGCCGACCTGATGAAAAGTGGTAACCGTCGCCTATAGACATGAGCAGTACCATGGACATAACAGAGTATACTGTTTCGTCCATGATATCCCCCATGCGTTACCATTCCTGAGGACTCAGGTGTTATTCCTCTGTACCCTGTAAATTCACGCTATATCCCACCCTTCAAACCGAAACAGCCATGCAAACACAGCTGCTTTACGGTTGAAACACGAATGGGACAGAAGTAATCGACTTTTGTACAGTCTCCCTCTGGTGGACCCTCTGACTTTATAAAACATTAATATTTTTTTAATATATAAAATATAGATTACGTTTTTATGTATGTAAAAAAAATAGAGTACTTGCAATTAACATTTAACAAAGTATAAAAAGACCATTACGGCACGCAATGGTGGGAATAACTGGGTTTGTGAATAAGCCGATAGATGGCGTTGATCAAAATAAAATATTATAATTTAGAACCGATCGTATCGAATTGTAGGAGATAAATTAGAACAAATATTTGAATTCTGAACATGCATTTTTTTAAATTACAGAATACTTACGGCTTCAGGCCGCGTAGGATAAGCGAATGTGACGTCTTTAAATTCAATGTCTCCATGAAGTTCGTGGTACTTGATTATCTTTGTGCCAGATGTGTCCATTTGTGGTACCTTATTTATATACTGAAAAAAAATTATTACTATTAGTTGCTAGCGCTTGTCATAGAATTTTATAGTTAGTTAGTTTTAGTTTTTTTTTATAATATTATAATGGAATGGTAACCCCAACCTGCGCAATCGGTATACACTGGCGAGGCAGTGAGGAATGACAGGTGAAAATGAAACAGGTTGGCTTATCGTGATTAATTCATAAAAATAATAATAACAAATAAGAGAACCACGTGGAGGTCGATCTGACAGGGTATATTGCTAGTAATGAGGCTGTTTGTTCTCATTACTAACAATCCCTTCTCTCCCACTGCAACCTTAGGTTGTTAAGGAGCAACCCATACTTGCGGCCATTTTGTATAGATAATCCTATGGTAGAATGTAAAAAAAAAGAATAAACTTCTGTTTAGAGTAAATCTTATCAAAAACACGATAAGTTTCCACCGTAAAGTAGTTGTGTCTGCATGGCTGTGTTTCGGTTTGAAGAGTGGGATATGACGTAAATTTACAGGGTACAGAGGAATAACATCTGAGTCCTCAGGAATGGCAACGCATGGCGAGTATCATGGGCGAAACAGTATACTCTGATATGTCCATGGTACTGCTTATGTCTATAGGCGACGGTTACCACTTTCCATCAGGTGGGCCGTCAGCATGTTTGCCATTCTACATAGTATAAAAAAAATTTACTTATTTTCTCCTGGCAACCCTAGTTTAATAAGAAATGGCAACCTGAGTGCATTGTATTATATTTTAGTACATTTTTCATTTAATCCAAGTTTCATTAAAAAGTTTTATACCTTCAGAAGTCAGCTAATAGTTTCTATTTAGATTAAATATGATATCTTACCTCAAATACTCGTCCTCCGGCGATGATTCCCTTCACCACAGAGCCAAACAGTAGCGACAGTTGCGCTACGGACCGTTGCACGGTCTGCGCGTTCACTAGGAACGCCATGACGTCACCGGCCGACATACGGCCTGAAGACATCAGGTGACCGCCGAGGAACATCGTGGCCAGCACCATCCTAGAACAGGTTCATTGACCTTATATGGAATATTCTAGCTATTTATTTACACGCTTCTTGAAGGATAAACAGAAATAAAACTAGAAGTGTATTCGAGACAACATCTTTTGTTTCATCCACTGTCTTAACACGTCTCATGTGGGGGGAAGAGATTGTTAGTATTGGGGAGGTTAGTCCCTATTGCTATCAGTATATCCTATAGGGTCGACCTCCACGCGATTACCCCTGGAAACTATCGTGACTAATTTATCGTTGAATTAGTCAGGATGGGCTAACTGACCTGCCTTTTCATCCTCACCAATCATCCCTCACTGATGGCCCGCCAGTGTATACCGATAGCGCAGGCGGGGTTACCATTTTATTATCATACATTAAAAAAACACGTCTCATGCATGCATGCCGGTTTTAGTAACTGTGGGGTTACTCTTGAAATAAATTCTAATAAATTGATATTGAAATTGAGACATTTCGCACTCTCTAATTGCAATACTAGCGACATAATGGTTCTATACTGTTCTAATAGATGCATATTAGTATAACTTGCGAATGTTACCATTCCATTCTCGTCCATTAAAAAGAAAGTAGATATATACAGCAAACTAAGTTTTTTACCGTAAAAGCCATTAGCCTGGGGGGGGGTCGGAATTATTATTATTTTATAAAAAGTAATATATCTAGATGCGCGGAATTATTATTAAAAAATATATAGTTTACCCATTGAGAAATAGATTAGTCCCGGCCTGGAACAGACCGACGCCAAGTCCCAACTCCATACTGAGGGCGGCGGCGGCGTCGCTTTCCCGCGCAAACATCTCTGCTTCATTTTCTTCGCCCGCAAACGCGCGCACTGTACGCATGTTAGATATCGCCTCCTCAGCTACCAATGTTGCTTTTTCTATCTGAAAAAAATCAATGTCTAAAGACCTGACCATACCATTAAGTAATTCTTTACATAATTATGGCTCTACAGGTGGTGATTATAATAGTACCGCAAATCGTGCGTGGATGAAATGACAGTCGGACATTGATCTCTAATATAGAAGGTTGTAAAGAACTTCTGGTAATAACAATAGTAGACAATCTTAGAGTGCCGACAATCGTACACATACTAATGGTAGTGGAATTAAAGAAAATAATTTTAATCGAATAACTAATAATATGAATTTATACAAACCAAAACCTAATTCAGTAAAATATTATAACAGTAAACAGTTGCAATGATCAGATAGTAAAACATTGAGCATTGATTAACAACAAAGATATTCGATCTTAATTTTCTTATTATTTAAAAGTGAATAACCAGCAAACATTAGTGCTGCCTCTGTAGAGCGATTTAAGAATTAAAATTACTATAGAAACTGAATAGAACAACCTGCGAATGTGAAGAAGAACACAAAGAACTAAAACAATATAGAATATAAACACTAACAAATCTAAACAAATTTTAAAAACAATCATTTTATTTCTTAAATCAATTTCGAGATAAAAGTAAGAATCAAATCCAGTCTACATTTAATTAAGGCAAATCTATCTACCAAGTGGAATGGCGGTTAAAAACATACCTGCGCTTGCGCTTCTCTTGAAAGCTTCCTCAATAAAGAGCCGATAAACGTCCCACCAATGACTACTGACGGCACGCATATCATCGTCAAGCCAGTCAAGTGTGGAGAGATGATTAGTAGACTCACAGCTGAACCTATAACCTACAACATGATAATCATTCTAAATGTCATCAATTAGAGATAGGATGAAAAACATCTCTACTGGTCCCTCCAACGTCCAAACATTTTTTACTTACAGCAAATTTCAGAGCCTTACTAATATTTATAAATTTATAAATATATAAAATTAATATTACAAACTACACAAACAACAAGACTATGATATATTTACTTTATATATACCAGATTTCATAGTAACTGGTTAAGCCATTAAGGCACCAAAAGGTAACAAATAAACAAACTCACTTTCACATTTATATTATTAGTAAGGATAATAAGCTATTCTTCAACTCTGCCAATCCCGTATGCTTGTTTGCCACCTTTGTGATATAAAAAAAAAGTTTATCATCCCAGGGATGCTGATAAAGTCATGTGTAAAATCTAGTTGATCATGAGGTAAATTATGAAAATCTTCTAACCTGTGTTATTGCTCTTAATCCTCCAGATATAGTTTGTTTAAATGAACTTTTGAAGTCTTGTACATCAACAGTTATTCTGTAATAAATAGAAAGTATTAAATATTAAGAAATATATGAGAAAATAGAAGGGAATAACATAAGATTATGTTCCACAAAAATCAACTTTAATTGTCGTAAAACCAGTTATTTTGATTTAAAAACTAAACCATTGAACAGATTTTAATAAAATTTCTATGGGGATCAATCTATAGGTATATCTTACCAGATAAAAATTTTCCAAATTGATTTATAACTGATACAGTTATGAAGTAACAAGCAAAAAAAAATAATCAAAATGAAAACCTTTCTTTTTAAAGTTGGTTGATATAAATAATAATAACAACACTCCTGTTGAAGGATATTAAATGTATTTCTACCACCAAACTGCTTACATATTAGTCAAGATATAATTATTGCAATTATGCAGTACCTATTAACAAGTTCGCCAGTCCTCTCGCGATCAAAAAACGCCATATCCTGCTGTAGTATGGACACGAAGAGGTCTTGTTTCATTTGAGCCGCAACCATTTCACCGACTTGTGCCAACAAATGAATGTACAGGAATGTGAAGGCAGCCTGCAATAACATAAATTTATATTTAATAATACATACAGTGTGGTTTCAAGATTTTCCTCCCATTAACTCTTTTAATTTAAATTATTTTAGTAATTTGACCATATAGGCGTTATTTATTATTATTATTTATTTATTTCTAATCATTATTTTTACACTTAATATAAAATCTAAATGAAAAGTGTGTTTAATTGCAAAAAGATATAAATAATACTAGCTGACTCAACAAGCATTGAAAAAAAATATCAGAAAAAACTATTCTATCTGCTCACATTGGAGCAAGCAATAGACTTTTAGACTTCAATAAAATCAGTTTGATTTTACTAAAGTGAAGATTTCAGACTGGTTTCAGAGATTAGTATAAATGAAAATTAAGACATGAGACTATTATATATAAAGTATAAATTTGCATATTATATTTATTATAAGAGAAAGATAAAAAACTAAATTTATATTACCTGTCCTATATACAAAGATATCAATTTCAATGCTGGCAACTTTATCTCCTCAATAAAGTCTGCACTGGGGTTGGTCTTCATATTGGCTAATACATTGACAATCACACCAAGCATAGCCGGAATGTACACATTTAAAAATGCCACAGCTAGAGCTGACTGGAAAACAAAAAAAAATCATTACTATATACTATATATCAACTATTATCGGTCCACTGCTAATCATAGGCCTCCCCCATAAGGCATGTTTTGCCAGTAGTTGCCATACTTAGCAAATGAATTAACAATTACAGTCAAAGCATGCAGTAGCCTTGGTGATGTTTAAGCAGAGACGCCACAGCCCAGTCCTCAACTACTAAATTTTTTTAGTCACCCCTTACTTCTTACAATACCCATGGAAAAGGAAGAGTTGGCCTATTCTATACTGGGACCACAGGGCAACAGAATAAATTATTAATTATAGACCATTATAATCGTTATTTAAATAGCTTGTTATAAAAACTCTAATATTATCATCATTGTTAATGTTTATTATATATTATTAAGCATGAAGAAGATGATGAAAGTGTGATAGGTGTTAATAATCTTGTGTCAATTATCTGATACCATCTCACTCTTATTCCCTCAAAGACCATCTCTTTCTTAGATCGCTTTGTGCTAAGAAGGTTCCAGAATTTTTGAGTAGGCCAGTTTAGCAAAGAGTTTACTAAATTATCTAGGAAATGATTATTCTAGAAAAACTTATAAGAAGTTAGTTGCCAAATTTCTCATAACACAAGATAAAACTAAGCCATCTTAATTTGTGGATAGGACAATTATGTGATATTTATATAAATAGCTGTATTCCGTGGCTTTTACCATGTACTAATATGGAATATAACCTACCCATATACCAAATTTCATTCAAATCCATTCAGTAGTTTTTGCATAAAAGGATAATAAACATCCACCCATACAAAATGTTGCATTTATAGTATAAATAGGATATAAAAATATGAATCTTACCGCCACAGCAGCAGCTAGCAGCCACTTATGAGGTTTTAAGTACTCTAGAAACCTTTTCCAGTCAAATTTTGCATTGTCACTATGTATGTTTGATCTTCTTTGTATTAACCTAGAATTCTGCGCTTTACACAACACAGAGCTATTATTTAATAATAAACGAGCTGCTAAGCCTAAACTAACACCGGTACAGAGCTTCCAGGGACTACAAACTAATAAAACATTGGACTTTGCACCATTTTCCACAGTTCTCTTTACATCAGAAATGTAGCGTTGATATACATTTGTTGGCTTATTTTTTAATATATTCATAAAAGACCCATTACACTTTGTTAATAATAACCTGAAAGTAATGAGAATAGTTCACGTTATCGTATGAAACATTCAAAAACTGCATTACAAACGTTCACCAATGTTTACCTCTGCCTTGAGGCTTGACATAACTGTGATTGTAGTAATTGCCACATGTTTTACAATTTAAATATTATAATTAAAGTATGGATAAGCTAAAAAGGCATTATTTAATTCTTAAAGAACCAATTTTATGTAATTTTAGCTGAAAATTCACGGAAACTCCTTTTTTTTTTTTTTTTTTAGTACGTTTGTTCCGTTTGGAACAGGCTAAGGTCGGAGACCATGCTGCCTAGTCTTCAAAAAGATAATTTGTCTGGAATTTTATTTTTCTAATGTCGCTTCAATTATTGTCATAATCTTCAATATTTCATTTGTCAAATCCGGTAAGTACATTTTCATAAATATCTTTTCTTGAGTTTTCTTAAACCAGTGGATTTATCAAATTAAAAATAAATAATTATAAAAAATCATTGTCTTGCAATTCAATAAAAGTATTCTTATAGCTCCTTGAATGTTGTAGTAATATAAGTGAAAATAGCTTTGAAACAAGAAGGAAATCTTAAGAGAAGCGGGATTGAGTGCGGGATATTTTCGGGTTTTTTGAAGATAATCCTAAGTTCGTCAAACATAATGTGTCTTTGAATGACAAATTCAGAGCAATCAAAAAAAAGGTGATGTAGAGATTGGGCTGTATTTGAGTTACACCATGTGCATGATGGGGAAGCGATCATGCCCATTCGGTGCAGGTGTTCGTTGAAATGTCCGTGGCCGATTCGTAATCTACAAATATTGGTGTAAAATTTTCTGTTTGTGTCCTTTCCTTTGCAGAACCACGGTTTTCCAATACGCCAATTAATTTTGCGGTACCATTTGCCTTTAGTCTGTAATATTTGAGTCCAATGCTCCTCCCATTTAGTTGTAACGATTTTATGTATTCCAATACTACAATCTGAGTAACAAAGGGGTAAATCTTGAACACGAGCAGCACTTGAATTAATAATTTTAGCCAAAGTGTCTACTTGTTCATTCCCAAACACTCCAATATGTGAAGGGGTCCAGATGAAGATAATATCTTTTCCATATATAGTACAGAGATGATAATATTTATTACGAATTTCTTGAATTAAGTAGTTTGATGATGAAATGAATGTGTTATTTTTTAATGCCATAAGAACACTCATACTATCTGTAATTATAATCCATTTCGAATATAGTACCTGTTTTTCTATGTATTCTAATGCTAAAAATATAGCTTTTGCTTCTGCTGTGTAAATACTAGCCAAAGTTGAAATTTTATAACCGTGACCAAATCTATTTGACAAATCGTAAAAAGCCACTGAAGTGCTAAGTGCATTTTTGGAACCATCTGTATATATCTGCCTGTAGTCAATAAATTCTGATAAAGTCTCATACATATCGTGCTTTTCTTTTATGTCTTTACGTATAACAATTTTGATCTTACAGAACTTACTCTCATAAAGGCCATTATAACAAGGAAGTATCTTACTACTATAGATGTTATATTCATCTCGTAAATTCAAATCATTGACAATAGTTTTATTCAAAAACATAGAAATGGGGCAATTTAATAATTTGAGTATGAGTGGGTTATTGGAAACTGAAAAAACTTTGAAGAGAAATTTGAGTTTTAGGTATTCGAAACGAAGAAGGATAGGAGGCAAATTACATTCTACTTGCATTGAGATAATTGGAGAAGTATACATAGCACCTAAAATAAGTCTTAAATTCATATTTTGAATTTTTTCGAGTTTTTCTACTAATTTATGTTCTGAGGCATAACAAAAGAAAGCGTAATCAAAATTACTTCTAACAAGAGATTTGTAAAGTAAAAGGATAATTTTAGGATCAGCTCCCCAGTTACGACCAATTACAGATCTTATTATATTAGTGGCTCTTAAAGCACGATCTACTAAGCAATCAACGTATAGATCCCATTTTAAATTTTGATGAAAAATTACCCCCAGAAATTTAACGCTACAGTCTGTTGGAAGAGTTTGATTATTATATATAATATTCATTAATGGAACATATTTATGAACTTGATGAAAAACAACTACTTTACTTTTGGTTAAACTAATATCGAGGGAAAGAAGAGAAAAATATTTCTCAAGTCTTTTTAATGACTCATTTAACACTAATTGCATATCAATAATATTCTTTCCTTTTATATAAATTAATAAATCATCGGCAAATTGCAAGTTGTTCACACTGTTTCCTAAAATTGAATTAAGTTTATAGATATATAAAATATATAGTAGCGGGCTTAGAATACCACCTTGACATACTCCTTTAGAGCTTAACCTAGGTCCTATTAATTTACTATTTACTTTAACATACACTTCTCTATTACTAAGAAAATTATAAATCCATTCGATAAGTTTCATTGGAAGAAATGAGGATAAAATCGAAGATAGAACTGTTAAATTTACATTGTTAAAAGCTCCTACGACATCTAAAAAAACAGATAGAACATATTCATCGTTATTCAAAGCAGTACTAAGGTCGACATAGAAGTTCGCTAAACTTTCGCGCGCTGAATATCTACGGCGAAAACCAAATTGATTCGATGGTAATATACTATTACTTTCAATAAAGAACTCTAAACGCTGTTTAATTAATTGTTCGAATAATTTGCCTGCACAGGACGTCAATGTTATAGGTCTATAGGAGTCGAAATTTGTAGGATCTTTACCGGGTTTAATTACTGGAATCAAACAATCCATTTTCCATTCTGGTGGGATAATACAGTCCTTCCATAAATCGTTAAAAATTTGTAAGAGTTTAGTAAGGTTTATTTTATTCAGCAATCGAAACATATTGTATGTTAAGCGATCAAGGCCACTAGCTGTATCTTTTCTAGATTTTACTGCACTGGATATTTCATCAATTGAGAATGGGTCAGTGAGAAATTTTGGGCATGAATTAACAGAATTAAACTGTTTGTCATCAAAAGGTGAGTGTACAAAATCAGGAGTATATTTGCGTAAAAAATCATTGACCCATGATATATCTTTAAAATGATTTTGACGATGTTTTGAATTTAGTTTTCTCATATTTTGCCAAACAGTGGAAATTGGTGTTAATCTATTAAATTTGGAACAAAATTCCTGCCACCCCTGTTGTCTTACTTGCTTAATTACTAACTTTTTAACAGCTTGAACTCTTTTAAAATTTATGTAATTATCGAGAGTTGGATTTTGTTTAAACCTAAGGTAAGCCGCTTTACTATCATTGACAGCTGTCGCACACCTGTTATTCCACCAAGGTACTGCAATATGTTTGTGCCTCTTTGAAGTATTTGCACCGCTATTTGATAAGTTCCTACGTGGAACGGAACGTTCCACAGCTGTCAAAATAATTTTACAGAACCTATTGTAATTGTTTAAGGGTTCATTGACATCATACTCGAAATCCAAAAGTAATTGATTAACAGTTTCAGAATAAAGATCCCAATTAACGAGACGTAGGTTTATACGATTTAACAAAAGTTTATTAACTTCATCTATAGGAGCATGTTGTTCACCTGACGGAGTGTTTATTTTAGTAAAAGTCGGCAGGTGATAACTTCCTAACGGATCATCATGAACCGACCACTCGCATTTTAATGATATGGATGGGGATGCCATAGTTAAATCAAGGCCATTGGGTCTCCAAATATGAGAGCCAACAGTAGTAACTTGCTTATCATTTAATAGTACCAAATTACATTCATCTAAACAATCAAGAATGTCTTTACCTCTTGTATTAGTGGAGGTACAACCCCACATAGTATGATGTGCATTTAAATCTCCAGATATGATAGTGGGTTTAGGAAGAGACTCCAAAAAGAACTTAAATTTGGCTTTAGTAAAACTAGGTGTACTATTGGTAGGACAGTAAATACTGGCAACTGAATACCAAGAATTATTAACTTCAATACTAATAGCTATAGTTTGCAAAGAATTGTCGAAAAAAGAGTGAAGTTTTTTATATCTAATACTATTATGTATAATAATCGCTACTCCATTGTGGTTATTACCACAATCATTTCGTTCTATACAATAATCTTTAATTTTTAATTTGTAATGTGGTTTTAGCCAAGTTTCTGAGATGAGAGCAATGTGAATATGATGTTCATTTAAAAATTGTGTAAAAATATGTCGATTGCTCAGTAGGCTCTGAGCGTTCCACTGTATGATAGTTAATTGGTCTCGATTGAATTTTGTGAAATAGGTCTATTACCAAAAGTATCATATAACACATTCAAAACACTTTTAGTGTTAATAGATGTGTTCTTTGTGTTATGTAGTGAAATAAGTTTGATTATGCTTTCTATTAAAAGTGATAAACTCTTGTTATCAGAATTTAGAATTGAAATTAGGTCTACATTTTTTTTAGGTTTGTTACCCAGTTTAGGAAATATTTCAGTACTAAGTATATCTCCAAAAGAAGCAGGTCTGAATTTAGATCTATTTTCAGCAATTTTCTTTTGTTTAACAGGGCATTGCGGTGATACACTTGTGTGATTTCCATTGCAGTGTACACAAATAGCGTTTTCCATTCCAGTTGTACAAGTTTTATAATTATGCTCACCTTTGCAGATGCTGCAACGCTCAGAATTCTTACAGAATTTAGCTAAATGTCCATACCTCAAGCACCGGTAGCATTGTTTAACTGGTGGTATATATGGAGTGACATTGTGGCGCCAACCTCCAATATCCAGATATTCAGGTAATACAGATGCAGCAAAAGTAATTGTCACGGTTAGAGTTGGCTGTAACACATATCCATGAGTCAAGGTATTTTTTCTTAAAATTCTTTTAATAGCAATAATTTTCTTAGAACTCGATATCATAGTATATATTTTTTTATTAGATATATTTGTAGGTACATTTCTAATAACGCCTGTAACTTCTGTTGAAGAAGCAGGAATACTGGCCTTAAAATGGTAGTCATTTAAAAAAGTTTTATTATTTAAAAAAGCATTGGCTAAGTCTGGCTTTTGAAAGTATACTCCGATTTTGAATTTATTTATAGATCTAAGATAAGTTACCCCTTTATTAAATCGTTTTAAACAGGAGGAGAGTGAGAGCAAGTCTCTGGATCCAATGGTTTTCTGACTATCTGAGGATTCTACAAAGACAACAAATTCTGTCCCAGGGGATTCCTCGGGATATCTTCTAATATAATCTGTGACGTAGTAAGGTTTATACTTATCGGCCTTATCAATTTCAGATTCTGAGTC